GGTAAATAAGAGAGTGATATAGGGCCAGGAGGGCTGACTGTGGAACATAGTACCGTATCTTCGATAGTATGCCTACGGTCTTGGAAATTTTCTTAGAAATTTGTTGTATATATGTATGAAATTTGAGTATATTATCAAGGTGGAGTCCTAAAAATTTTCCCTCTGTTAGCTTTGTGATAGGTGATCCATTTATCATTATGTTAAGAGGGACATCTGTAGCTCTGTTACCAAACTGAATGAAGTAGGTTTTGTCAATGTTTAGTGTAAGTTTGTTAGTCCTCATCCAGGTAGATATTTTTTGTAATTCGGTATTTACAGTATTGGCTAGCGTGACTAGGCTCGGGTGAGAGAAGACGTAGGTAGTGTCATCTGCAAATAGTGTGGGTTTGAGTAATTGCGAAGCATTTGGTAGGTCATTTATGTATAGGAGAAAGAGAAGAGGGCCAAGGACACTTCCCTGTGGGACACCAACTGTAATTGGTTGTGCGGAAGAGTTTGCCCCATTTGCGTACACATATTGGCTTCTGTTGCTGAGGTATGACTTGAGGTATTTGAGGGAGTGCCCTCTTATACCATAGTGTGACAATTTTATGTGGAGCAAGTCATTGTCAACTGTATATGATCTTGTAAGTGTATTTTTGGGTGTCTGAAACGGACTAATCTAAATTACATTATTCCTTATGGTAACAAATTTGTTTGGTAACAGCCCTTGAACAGCCTTCTGGAATGAATTATGGCTGAAACTTGGGGTACCACTGTGTAATATACAAGTGGGAGACGGCCAACTTGTTTAAAATATATATTATTTATTTATTTATTTTTCAACAAGTCGGCCGTCTCCTACCTAGGCAGGGTGACCCAAAAAAGAAAGAAAATCCCGAAAACGAAAATACTTTCATCATCATTCAACACTTTCACCTCACTCATACATAATTACTGTTTTTGCAGAGACACCCAGATACAACAGTTTAGAAGTATATATAAAGATACATTACACATCCCTCCAAACTGTCAGTATCCCAAACCCCTCCTTTAAAGTACAGCCATTGTATTTCCCATTTCCATTACTCAAATCCGGCTATATAAAAATAACCGGTTTCCCTGAATCCCTTCACTAAATATCAAATTGCTCACACTCCAACAGCTCGTCAGGTTCCAAAAATCATTCGTCTCCATTCACTTCTATCTAACACACTCATGCACGCTTGCTGGAAGTCCACGCCCCTTGCCCACAAAACCTCCTTTACCCCCTCCTTCCAACCTTTCTGAGGATGACCCCTGCCCTGCCTTCCTTCCCCTGCAGATTTATACGCTCTCCATGTCATTATACTTTGATCCATTCTCTCTAAATGACCAAACCACCTCAACAACCCCTCTTCAGTTCTCTGACTAATACTTTTATTAATTCCACACCACGTAATTTCCACACTTCAAATTCTCTGCATAATATTTACACCACACATTGCCCTTAGACAGGATATCTCCACTTCCTCCAACCGCCTCCTCGCTGCAGCATTTACAACCCAAGCTTCATGCCCACTATACAGTACTTTCATACCTTCCCTTCTTTGCCTCCTTTGATAACGTCTTTTTGCCTCCACATATACCTCAACGCGCCACTCACCTTTTTTCCCTCATCAATTCTGTGGTTAATCTCATCCTTCATAAACCCATCCGCTAACACATCATCTCCCAAATATCTGAAAACATTCACTTCTTCCATACTCCTCTCCAATGTAATATCCAATTTTTCTTTAAATCATTTGATATGCTCATCACATTACTCTTATCTATGGTCACTTTCAACTTTCTACCTTTACACACCCGCCCAAACTCATCTACTAACCTTTGCAACTTTTGTTTAGAATCATCCATAAGCACAGTATCATCAGCAAAAAGTAACTGTGTCAACTCCCTTTTGTATGTGATTCCTCATAATTTAATCCCACCCCTCTATAAATATATTAAACCATGGTGACATTACGCATCCCTGTCTAAGACCTACTTTTACTGTGAAGTAATCTCCTCTTCTACACACCCTAACCTGAGCCTCACTCTCCTCATAAAAACTGGTTACAGCACTTAGTTACTTACTATCTATTCTATATACTTACAACATCTGCCACATTGCTCCCCTATCCACTCTATCATATGCCTTTTCTAAATCCATAAATGCAATGAAAACTTCCCTACCTTTATCTAAATACTGTTCACATATATGCTTCAATGTAAACTCTTGATCTACACATCCCCTACTCTAAAGCCTCCTTGCTCATCTACAATCCTACTCTGTCTTACCTCTAATTCTTTCAATAACCTTACCGTACACTTTTCCTGGTATACTCAGTAAACTTATTCCCCTATAATTTTTACAATCTCTTTTGTCCCCCTTCCCTTTATGTAAAGGAACTATACATGCTCTCTGCCAATCCCTAGGTACCTTCCCCTCTTCCATACATTTATTAAACAAAAATACCAACCACTCCAACACTATGTCCCCCCCCCCCTGCTTTTAACATTTCTGTCATGATCCCGTCAGTTCCAGCTGCTTTACCCCCTTTCATTCTACATAATGCCTCATGCACCTCCCCACACTCACATCCTGCTCTTCTTTACTCCTAAAAGATGTTATACCTCCCTGGCCAGTACATGAAATTACCACCTCCCTTTCTTCATCAACATTTAAAAGTTCCTCAAAATATTTCTGCCATCTACCCAATACCTCCATCTCCCCATCTACTAACTCCCCTACTCTGTTTTTAACTGACAAATCCATTTGTTCCCTAGGCTTTCATAACTTGTTTATCTACAAAATTTTTCTTGTTTTCATCAACAGTGCCTCTCCCACTCTATTATCTGCTCTCCTTTTGCACTCTCTCACCACACACTTCACCTTTCTCTTACTCTCCATATACTCTGCTCTTCTTATAATACTTCTGTTTTGTAAAAATCTCTCATAAGCTACCTTTTTCTCTTTTATCACACACTTTACTTCATTATTCCACGAATCACTCCTATTTCCTCAAGCACCTACCCTCCTATAGCCACAAACTTCTGCCCCACATTCTTATACTGCATTTTTAAAACTATTCCAACCCTCTTCAACTCCTCCACTACTCATACTTGCATTAGCCCACCTTTCTGCCAGTAGTTGCTTACATCTCACCCTAACTCCCTCCTCCCTAGTTTAAACACTTTCACCTCTCTCTTATTTGTTGTTTCCATTTTCCTTTCGTCCCATCTACCTCTTACTTTAACTGTTGCTACAACTAAATGATCCGATATATCAATTGCCCGTTTATAAACATGTACATCCTGAAGCCTTCCCATCAACCTTTTATCCACCAATGCATAATCTAACAAACCACTTTCATTACGTGCTATATCATACCTTGTATACTTATTTATCGTCCTTTTCATAAAATATGTATTACTTATTACCAAACCTCTTTCTACACATAGCTCAGTTAAAGGCTCCCCATTTTCATTTACCCCTGGCACCCTGAATTTACCTACTTCTCCCTCCACAACATTTTTACCCACTTTAGTATTGAAATTCCCAACCACAAGTACCCTCACACTTGGTTCAAAACTCCCCATGCACTCTACTTTTCCCAAAATCTCTCTCTCTCCTCTATACTTCTCTCTTCTCCAGGTGCATAAATGGTTAATATAACCCACTTTTCACATGCAGCCCTTATTTTACTCCACATAATCCTTGAATTAATACATTTATATTCCTGCCATAACTTATCCTTCAATAGTATTGCTACTCCTTCTTTAGCTCTAACTCTGTTGGAAACCCCTGACCTAATCCCATTTATTTCTCCCCACTGAATCTCCCCCACTCTTCAGCTTTGTTTCATTTGAAGCCAGGACATCCAGCTTCTTCCCATTCATAACACCCACAATCATCTCATATCATTCGCACAACATACATGCACATTCAAACATCCCACTTTGATGGTTTTCTTCTTTTTCTTTTTAGTAGACTATACAGGAAAAGGGGTTACTAGCCCATCGTTCCTGGCATTTTAGTTGACTTTCACAAAATGCATGGCTTACTGAGGAAAGATTCTTATTCCACTTCCCCAGTGATTTAAAAGGAAATGCAATAAGAACAAGAACTATTAAGAGAATATCAAAGAAAACTCAAATGAGTGTGTATACATAAATGTGTACATGTATGTGCAGTGTGACCTAAGTGCAAGTAGAAGTAACAAGATGTATCTGAAATCTTGCATGTGTATGAGACAGAAAAAAGACACCCGCAATCCTACCATCATGTAAAACAATTACAGGCTTTCGTTTTACACTCGCTTGGCAGGACGGTAGTACCTCCCTGGGTGGTTGCTGTCTGCCAACCTACTACCTATTTATATGCATACATATATATACATTGTATGTATAAAATATAGAGACCTTTTGTTAATTTGTGTACAGTATTCATAATTGAAATTTCTTATGCCAGTCATATATTGATACAAAGACACTCTTATGGAATGGAAACCTCTATGGAGGAAATGTTTTGCATAGAGACCAAGATTTAGTTGTCTTGACATTGTACAATATTGTAATAATGACAGAATAGGTGAGGCTCAAACCCAAGGCAAACGAGTCCTAAAACTTACGGGCCAATGTGCTATCCATTGGTCCTGCCTGTCTTAGTAAGATTTGTTCAACTAGGCTTATTTCTATACACCATAAGGAGGTTAGCATGGGCCCCACTGGCTGCAAATGCAGTTTTTACAGATAACTCTTAACACCAGCATGGCTGTGGCGTGCTCTAGCCTGAGTTGCCTCAAGCCTTTGATCGTAACTCTCAAAATTGTAATAGTGCGAATGCAATGGTGTTTTTATTATTTTGTGCTGTATAGCCCTTGTGACTTAGCACTTCTTTTTGATTATAATAATTTTATTTTGTGAGTCTTATCTTTATAATATTATTGGATTATCTTATTGTCTTGCAAAGTTAATCGAAAAATACTTTTATGTTGCAGGAAGAATGAAGATAGAAGAAACTCAGATTTGCTCGTCTTAATGCCTCAGTTGGACGTCATCATAAAAGGTAGGCAATGTATGGTCTGTTCACTGGTTGTGTTAATGACTTCATCATATTGTTGAATTACTGTATCTTCATTTAAATTATGTAGTGTTCATATTTATAACTATAGCTTTTGTTTTCTGGTTAACCCTTTCACTGTCACGACCCCTGAAAACAAAAGTCCTCTCAATGTCGCAATTTAAAGAAAAATAGTTTTATCATAAAAATGGTAGAGAAACTTTTTCTGGGAGTAATAACACCAAGCAGGCAAAGTTTAATGGAAAACAGAATTAGGCATGCATGAAGGTTGCAGTTTGGGCACAATTTACACATTTCTTTCACTTTGAGGTCTATTTTAGGTCAATTCCATTGCTCAAACTATCCCAGTTCCTGACTTTCACTAAAATGTCTTCTGTTTTATTGAATAAGTGCAAAAATCTGACCATCTATCAGAGCTATCCAATAAATTGTGCAAGAGATGGTAATTTGACCAATTTTATGCAAAATTTAACAAATTCCAAGTTTAAAACAAAGTACAAAATAAACACTACAGGCATTCCAGCCACTAAAGCAACCTTTCCTCTTTTCATTAACCTGTTTGCTGTCTTGTATGTAGGTGTACATTATTGACACCAGGGTCACTTATGGAGATGTAAGTTTTGAGCTCAGCTCTCTTGGATAAGCTGTGAACAGTAAATTTTGGCCTAGACATGAAAGAATTGTGCAGCGAGTGTGCACATAAAAAATATCCTTCCTCACACAGTGCATGATGAAAACCTCTTCAGAAAATGCCTCATTCACTATTTTAGCTCAAACACAAGGTCAGAAGTTAGCTGTTCCCATTATGCACTGCATGGGAAAGGTTTTTTTTTTATACAGTACATACAAACCCATTCTCTCATATCAAGGCCAGTATTTACTGCTTACAGTAAATATTAGCTCACAGCTGTGATGAAGACATAGATCTACCTAAGCGCCACTGGTCTGAATAATGTAGATCTACACGAGAGACAGAAAAAGGGATAATATGATATAACAAGTCATTTTGAACTGGTCAAGGTCGGGGGTGGTTCAAGACATTGTGATTCTTGATGGGGGAACTGAAGTGAAAGTCTATACGCAGGGTTGTCCAGTTTCTTCGACACCATGGGTCATTTCAGCACTAAACTTTTCAGTGGAGGGTCACAAATTGGGAAACAGGAGTGAATGGAGATGAATAGTTTTTGGGACCTGATGAGCAGTTGGAGTGTAAGCAGGGTAATAATTTGTGAAGGGATTCAGGGGAACCAGTTAGCCTGACTTCAGTCCTGGAGGTGGGAAGTATAATGCCTGCACTTTAAAGAAGGGTTTGGGGTATTGGCTGTTCGGAGTGACATCTAAACTGTTGTATCTGAGCACCTCTGCAAAGACCATGATTATGTATGAAAGTGTTGAATGATGAAAATTTTTTCTGGCTTTTTTGGGTCACCCTACCTCGGTGGGAAATGGCCGACGTGTTAATAAATATTTTTTTAACATGCTGCCTATCTCCCACTGAGGCAGTGATCCTCAGAAAAAGAAACACTTTCACCATCACTCACAAGATACTGCGGGGAATAGATAAGGCGGACAGAGACAGGACGTTCCAGAGAGGGGACACAGAAACAAGGGCTCACAATTGGAAGCTGAAGACTCAGACGATTCACAGGGATGTCAAGAAGTATTTCTTCAGTCATAGAGTCGTCAGGAAGTGGAATAGCCTAGAAAGTGACATAGTGGAGGTAGGAACCATACATAGCTTTAAGATGAGATATGACAAAGCTCAGGCAGCAGAGAGAGAGAAGACCTAGTAGCGATCAGCGAAGAGGTGGGGCCAGGAGCTGAGTCTCAACCCCTGCAACCACAATTAGGTGAGTACACTATCACTTTGTAGAGGCGTGTAGATATAACAGTTTAGGTGTCGCTCTAAACAGCAAGTATCCCAGACCTCTCTTGAACGTGCAGTCATTGTACTTCCCACCTGAGTTTATACAGAAATTATTCTACTCGTATATTAATATGAGTGCTTGCGGGCAACAAAAAATCTACCCACAGACCACTTGTGGCTCACAGGCCTGTAGTTGGACTACCCTGGTCTATGGCACACAAAGGTACATATGAGAAGAAATAGACTTGACAAGGGGGAGAAGGTGAATGGTGCTTTGAGGCATCTGTGGGGACAAGAACATTATCCATGGAGGCAAAAAGGATAAGGTATGAAAGTATAGTGGCTCCAACACTTACGTGGGTGTGAAGCATGGGTTGTGAAGCCACTGTGTGGTGAACGTTTCTTCAATAAGTGAATATGTGTCTGAGGGCAGTGCGTGATGTGAATACAGGTTTTCCTTGACTTATGATGGAGTTGCATTCCGATAAACCCATTGTAAGTAAAATATCGTAATTCAAATGCGAATGATAAGATAAGTAAATAAATACAAGTACCATCTGACTTACGACTGAACTTGGTTTCAACCAACTGGTCGTAAGTCAAAATGGACGCAAGTCGAACGTTATGCTGTTAGTACTGTATTTTATACTGTAAGGTTTAGGAGAAACACTGTGTACAACACAGTTATTTATTTGCATACAAAACATTTGTATGCATGAAAACATACGATGACATTCGTATGCATGAGCAGAAAAGTACAAAATAAGCTATGCTGTAAACAGTATGGCTGTGAGTACAAGCGGTCGTGTGTCGAGTAGGTCGTAAGTTAGATGGTACTTTTATCTACTGTCACTGAGTAAGTAAATAAACAAATAATTACTGTAATTAATTAAATACGTATCAGTATTGAAAAGTAAATAAATGAATATAAGTTATGGACTTGCTGCCTTCATAATAGGTCTTACGTTTTATCTCCAGAGTCATTGCTTTGGCACCATCATAGTCAAAATACCAAAGTCATTGCTTTTGCACCATCATAAAGTCAAAATACTAGTCATTGCTTTTGTACCATTGTAAAGTTAAAATACCAAAGTCATTACTTTTGCACCATCATAAAGTCAAAATACTAGTCATTGCTTTTGTACCATTGTAAAGTTAAAATACCAAAGTCATTACTTTTGCACCATCATAAAGTCAAAATACCAGTCATTGCTTTTGTACCATTGTAAAGTTAAAATACCTAAGTCGTTGCTTTCGCACCATCATAAAGTCAAAATACCAGTTGTTGCTTTTGCATCATCGTAAAGTCAAAATATAAGTTGAGGAGTGCCTGTATTATGCAGAGAATTTGTTGCTTGGAGATTAGGAGGATTTGCGGGATTACTAAAAGTATTATCCAGAGGGTTGATGTGGGGATGTTGAGGTGGTTTGGACATTTGGAGAGGATGGAGCAATATAGGATGACTTGGAGGGTGCATAAATGTGTAGTGGAGGAGAGGTGGGGTAGGGGTTCTCTTAGGAAAGGGTGGAGAGAGAGGAGATTTTATATGTGAGAGGCTTAGACATCCAGCAAGTATATGTAAACATATTAAATAGAAGTGATTGGAGGCAAGTGGTTTGAATGACCTGATATGCTGTTTGAGTGTGAGCAAGGTAACATTTATGAAGGGATTCAGGAAAACTGATGAGCTGGACCTAGGTCATATAGGTGGGAAGTACGTACAATGTCTTCACCCTGAAGAAAAGGCGGGGATGTTTTGAACTGTAGTATTGGCACACCTCTGGCAAGGCTGTAATAATAATAATAATAATCTTGGTGGGATATGGCCAGTTTGTTGAACGATGAAAGAATAATAATCTTTATTTCTACAGGTACAAAGTATACAGGCTTAGCAGACATCAATGATAGCTAGGTTTGTAGACCTTGTACATGTAGAAATAAAGATCATATAGAGAGTCCCTTGTTATGCAGAGCATTTTGGGCAAATTAGGTTAGTTTTGTCCCAGGATGTGATCCATGCCAGTTGACTAACACCTAGGTACAGTAAGGCCCCGCTTTACAACGTTTCGCTTTATGGCGTTCCACTAATACGGTCATTTCAAATTATGACCAAAACTCTCTATACGGCTCCCCCCACCTGACTTTCTAATACGTCCATGCCCCACCCAGTTTGTTTACATTCTCCGTGAGATTCTTAGGCACTAAGTCTCTATTATGTCTAGAAACTTCAAAATTTCAAGTGTTTTAAGTTATTTCATATTTTATGTATATTGTACTCTGATAATTATACTTATGTTTACCTGTACCTAAATAAACTTAAACACTGTGCTGGCATGCAGGTACACATTAAAATCAGTAAGAGTGTCTTATGTCTTGAGACACCATATTAGTAATGATAATAATAATAATAATAATAATAATAATAATAATAATAATCACCGAGTCATTGAATGTTGTGTATTACGTTAATGTACAGTGGACCCCCCGTTATCGGCCATAATCCGTTCCAGAAGGTCGGCCGATAACCGAAATGGCCGAAAACCGAATTAATATTTCCCATAATAATTAATGGAAATACAATTAATCCATTCCAAAGAAAAATATTCACAAAAAAAAAAATAATTTTTTTAACAATTATGTAAGTATTACATATGTTTATTGAAGGCTAATGCTGGCTTCTGGAAGACAGGGAGGAGGAAAGAGGGAGGTGTTAGTGTTTGGAAGGGGAATCCCCCTCCATAAAGACTTTAGGTAGCAAAGCCTTCTCTGGGGTTACTTCCCTTCTCTGTCTTTTAATGCCACTAGGATCAGCTTGAGAGTCACTGGACCCCTGTCTCACAAAATAACTGTCCAGAGTAATCTGTTTCTGGTGACTCTCTAAGATTTTCCTGAAGTAGGACAAGGTTTTGTCACTAAACATGTTGCAGATATGGCTTGTTTCAGCTTTGTCAGGGTGGTGTTTCTCTACAAAAGTTTGTACCCTAGTGCACATTGCACACACCTCTTCAATCTCTGAAGAAGGCACCTCCTTCACTCCCTCATTTTACCCCTCTGAAGCAAGTTCCTCAGCTGCGGTCTGTTGCTGTTTGAGATGAAGCTCTTGCAGCTCTTCAGTGG